AGCCAGTGTCATGAAAACATGATCCGTTCCTTTTTTGGTAGATGACTTAACAGCCATTTGTAGCTTAAAGGTCGAGTCATGTTCTGCTAACAAGTTGATCTTTACTTTATGTTATGTTTACAAACTATGAACATGTTTATATTAATGTTGCCAATGTTTGGGCATTTTTGCATTGATTATGGTATATATGAGATTATGATGATGGCTCGAGAGCCTCTATAGACACTTGAGGGTGTGGATATTGTTTAATGTTAATGTGCATTGTGACAGTGGCATTTGTTGATATATATGAAAATTTTGAGCTTATACAAGTTGAGAAGTTCTTTAATTGTGTAATGAGTTTTATGAAAGCATGCTTGATGATATTGTATGCTGATAGATCTTATAAAACACTTTTGCATGAAATGATGAAAGTTTAATAATGTTAAGATAAGAGGCTTGCTTAGGCCTAGCGGGTTATGCTTATCCGAGTTCATGCACCAATCACTATCTTTCCAAGAAATGGGATGTGACACTATCTATTACGTTGCTTAGCCTATCTAAACTAGATTGAACTCTTGGACTATGACATCTTCCCCCATTCAATCCAGTAACACTTTCATTGCTGAAAGATACACTACTACGTCATAGCAATCCGCTCGCACGTCTTTCCTTGAATGACCTTGTTTTATGCATTTTGGCTTTCGCACACTTCTTTATGCATTTGTAGTGCTCTCTGACCCAATTCGGCTGTAAGGTGGCTGGCCAGTGAGAGGGTTTTTTTTTTTGGAAAAAATTATAGTTTAGTAGTTTTTAAAATTAATGAAGTGTAAAATTATTTTTTCAATATTACCATGTCAACAAATTAAGGAAAATATTAACGGTCGACTAATAGGCAAATTTACATAGCCATCAGAAGATATTCTTTTGAGGCAGAGTGTTCATTTAAAAAGCAACGAACTCAAGTATAATTATGACCAAAAGTTAAGGCGGTCTGTGTATTTTCTCTTTATTATTTTTATTTTGTTTTGGTCAAAATACCTCAGTAGTTCTTATACTCATGCATTTTCTTTACTTTAGTCTTTTTATTTCAAATCGTAATAATTTAGTCCCTTAATTTGAGAAATTGCTTTAATTTAGTCTCTCTAGCATTTTCTTTTCAAAATTATCCTTCACAGAGCTGATGTCATTACTAACATGGCACCGCTTGCTGATGTCGCATGTGAGGTGGAGTGAAAATGCTGACATGGCAGTGCCATATCACTTTGACATGCTGATGGCACTGCCACGCTGATGTAGATATGCCATGTGCCATGCCAAAAGAGCGACATATGTCTCTTCCTTGTTTTTTCTAAAAATATTATGTGTTTAATTTCGAACCCAATACTTCATGCAAATATGACAAGCTCTTTACTACCTACTTTAAGCCCTTACTTGTAATTATATATTGCATTGCCTTTTTTTCTTTTCTTTCCTCTTTTTCTTTTTTTTTTCTTTTTCTCTCTTTTCTCACCTTCCCTTAAAGACAGACCGCAAGTCATCAATCATCGCCTCAGTTGTTGATCAACGATCACCGTTCATGATCATGGCATGGCATGGCATGGCATGTCTGGTGATTATCGATTAACAACTAGCGACGATGTCTGGTGACTGGTGGTCGATCTTTAAGGGAAACCGTGATAGGAGAGAGAAAGAAAACAAAGAAAAAAGAAAGAGAGGAAAAAAAAGAAACCAAAGCAACATATAAACAATGTAAAGGTTTAGAGTTGTTATTAAAGAGTTTGTTATACTTGCATGAGGTTTTAGGTTTGAAACTTAATAAGTACATAATATTTTTAGAGAAAACAAAAACAAAAGTGTCACTCTTTGGACATGCCATGTAACAGGACGTGGACGAGTGCTGAAAGAAAGTGTGACATGTAGTGCCCTTATTGACATGTCATGTGGCATATTTATATTAGTATTTAGTGCCACGTGGCATTGCTACATCAGCATGCCAAAGTGATGTGGCACTGCCACGTTAGCATTTTCAATCCATCTCACATGTCACTTCAGCAAACCATGTTATGTCAATGCCACGTCAACAATAATATTAGCTTTGTGAAAGGTAATTTTGAAAGGAAAATATTAGAGGAGCATGACGTGGACGGGTGCTAAAGAAAAATGTGACATGTGGTGCCCTCTTTGACATGCCACGTGGTATATCTATATTAGTATTCAGTGCCACGTGGCATTGTTACATCAGCATGTCAAAAGTGATGTGGCACTGCCACGATAGCATTTTCAATCTATCTTACATATGACGTTGGCAGACGATGTTATGTCAATGCCACGTCAACAATAATATCAACTTTGTGAAGAGTAATTTCAAAAGAAAAATATTAAAGGAGCATGACGTGGATGGGTGCTAAAGGAAAGTGTGACATGTGGTGCCCTCCTTGACATGCCACTTGGCATATCTATATTAGTATTGAGTACCATGTAGCATTGCTACATCAATATGTTAAAATGATGTGACATTGCCACGTTAACATTTTGAATCCACCTCACATGTCACGTCAGCAAATGATGTTATGTTAGTGCCATGTCAATAATAATATTAGCTCTGTAAAAGGTAATTTCAAAGGAAAAATATTAGAGAGACTAAATTGAAATAATTTTTAAAATTTAAAAATTAAATAATTGTAAGTTTGAATTGAGAGATTATTGAAGTATTTTAACTATTTTGTTTTAAAAAAGTGGGCCTTGAAGGCCCATAAAAGGTCCACTTTAATAATGGACCTTGGCTTCATACTACAAATTCGACTACCTTACCCAAAAGGGAGGAAAGAAGGAGCAATAAGTAATAAATAAAAATAATATATAATATAAATAAATAATAAAACAAAAAAAAAGATAAAAATAAAAGAAACCTGAGCAAGGAATGAGTGTCGACATTAATCAAGGCCTATCAATCTTTGGGACTCGTATTTTCTCAATGATTCAAATTTTAGTAAGTTTATTATTATGCATCAACTTAAAATTTTCATAGAGTAAAATTAGTTTAATCAAGTCTTATTAAAAGAAATTCATTTTATTGATTTATATAATTTAAAAAGAGAGAGATTATTTGAAAATAAAAAGTATATCTCAATTTGAAGTTTAAAATAAAGAGAAAATTTTAGTGGAAACTAAAACTTAGGAAAAGAAATCAATCCATTAACAATTCTAACTAGTTTAATTAAAATTGTGGGCTAATGCATGGTGGGTATTTGAATCTAAGAACAAATATAGTTCAACATTTAAATTTTAAAAAAGAATCACATTGAGAAGTTTTAGAGCTTGAATTGAAATTAATTAAGGTTTTAGTTAGCTACCAACGTTAAAATTGATCTTAAAAAAAATCCAAAAATATATTTCAAAATGAAATAAAAAAAATTATTTGCCTTAAAAAGAATGTAATAAATAAAGGTTATAATTAAATCACTGGAAACAAAAGGATATGCTTGATTTTAAATTTAGGAAGCTTGAGAAGAAATTAAAATTATATTAATTTTTAAACATTTGGTCTTTTATTCTATTTTGGCTTTGGTATAAGATGTATAACTTTAAATATTTTCAAATGTAAAGATTTGGTCTTCTAGTTGAATTTGGTAAGTTAAATAATTTCAAAGATTTCTTACCTATGGAAGAAAGAAACTATCCACACAAGCACCCCTATCAATATTTTTTAACCAACAATCTTGTACTTTCTTATTTTATATATATATATATATATAAAATAAATATTATATTCAATATATATTTATTATATTAATAAATTTGGTCTGACAATCTTTTAGTTTCCTATAATATATATGGTGTGTTTTTGAATATATGACTAAATAGCTAGTATAAGTATCTCTATTTAAAAAGTTAAATTTAAAATTTGATTTTCATTTCCCTAAATGAAAAAGGTAGATGTTCATGTTGAACGATTAATAATTCAAAAAATTTCTTTTTCTTTCATTTTTCACCTTTCATTATTCTTCCTTTTATAAAAGTAATATTTGTTAAGAAAAATTACTCTACATTCTTAAATTTTAATCGAAATTCTAAATAGATTTATTAATTTTTGAATTAGATATTCCGTCCTAAAAGTGTAAATATTTTTACCTAAGATTATGAAAGGATTGAACTACAATTTTTTCTTTATTAATTTTAAAAAATATTATTATATATTTTTGAAAAAAATTAAAAGAATAAAGAGCATCAATCGGTGCTTCCCAACTCTCCAAGAAATGGGAGCATCGATCTGGTGCTCCCTTCCCTTGGGGAGCTGATTGGTTTCCTTTTTTTTTGTTAAAAAATATAATAATAATTAATAAAAAAATATAATAATAATTTTAAAAATTAATAAATAATAAAATTATCATTTCAATATTACTACATTATCAAACTAACAGAAACACTAAAAATCGAACCTATGTGTTAAGTAAAAGATTTTTTTTAGATAAAATGTCTATTTCAAAATGTAATGGATCTACTTAGAATTTTGATTAAAACTTAAGAGAATGTGGTATTTATTCTATTTGTGATCATATGTGTTGCATGTGATTATTTGTTAAACTAATAATTATATATAAATATAAATTTTTCTAAAATGTAAAGTGTGAAATATGAATATTTTTTAATGAAAATAATTTAACACAATTAGAATTTTTATTTGAAAATTAGATAAATCTCATTAATATTTGTAATAAAAAGTAATTGTAATGATAGTCATTTGATAAAATTAGAATTCTTATTTACAAATTGTATAAATCTTATTAAAATGGTAATTTAAAAATACGATTGATCATAAATTATAGATTATAGGTAGATTATAAACATAAATATGGATATAATTTTACAAAAAGAATACTCAGAATAATTTATATTGGAATGCTGGATAAGTAAAATATTTTTTAAGATAGATATTTTTAAAATAGCATGGTAGCACGCGTGGCGCGTGGGAAGAGACCGAAGGGAGACACTTCTAAGTAACCCTAGACGCTATAAAATCCCGAGATCTACACCCAATCCACCGCCGTTTACTTTGTTAATTTCTCGACAACACCTTTGTTTCTTCAATCTTATCCTTGAGCTTCAGCTTCTTCTCGCTGCAGACGCTAGGGCTTTCCAGATTCGACGGAGGGCTTTGTAAAAATGAGAGGCAGGAGTTACACTCCATCTCCGCCTAGGGGCTACGGCCGGAGAGGACGGAGTCCGAGCCCCAGAGGCCGTTATGGGGGTCGCGCTCGAGATCTTCCTACAAGCCTTTTGGTTCGCAACCTTCGGCATGACTGCAGGTTTCTTCTCCTTTGTTCTGCTTCCGCCTCCATATTTCTTACAACTTTTATTCTTTTGGTTTCTGGTGAAGCCTCCGTTATGTTGCTTTTTTTTTTTTTAGAGTTATGAGGTTTTAATTGATATAAATTTGCCTCTTATGAATTATTTCTGTGCCATCTATCTCATTTTAATGTATATGACTGTAATATTATCTTCGTATGCCGTTGTCAATGAACCATGGATTGTAGCAACTGTTTCAGGGGGATCTATTCTCTGGAAAGGTTATTTGCTTTGTTTTCTTTATAATTTCGACTAAGATGCTTGTTATTATCTCTGACAATGTAGTGGGGCAGATAATTTTATAGTGATTGTTGCGCACCAGAAGCATTTACTTATTTTTCTGAACCTGGGGTTTTTGCAGGCCAGAAGACATTCGCAGGCCCTTTGAAAGATTTGGCCCTCTTAAAGATATATATCTGCCCAAGGATTATTATACTGGGTGAGGATATATTTTCTACCTTAGGAATATTATTATAGTTGTTGGGATAATAGAATTGATTTGTTTTAATCTTTTCTCTCATTCACTGGACTCAAAACATCTATTGTTTTAACTTTACCGTGGGTTGTGTGTAGTCAAGAGCCATGTTTGGTGGCATTTGGTTCTTTTTGGAACAACAGAAACAATGTTTTTAACTATTTTTTTATTAGTTTTACAATTTCATTTGGAATAGAAAATGTTGTTTTGTATTCACAACTTTTCAATATTGTCATAATTTTGATTTATTCTATTTGTACTCTGTGTATTGAGAAATTTATGATTCTTCCAAATTCTTATCTCTAATTTTAGGAGGTTCAAGCAAAGCTTGAAAACCCATCTTTTTCTCACTAAGCTTTTACCGAGCAGGCCTTGCTAATGCTCCTCCCTCTGAATATCTATTTTGATGTTGGGGCATTCCTTTAACTATACTCTTTTGTAATCACAAATTGGGTGTGTTAATTGAAGTTCTTGAGGTTTAACAGTGAAATTAAAGTTTTGAAGACATCAATCAAGTAATTAGAGTTCTTTTGAAGATGATGTTAGTGGTAGTGAAGATTGGAAGGAAGTTGGGTTTGAATACATTGTGAAGATGTTCCAAGTCTTGAAGAATTTCAAGTGATCTTTAAACTGACACTTGCAAGGTTAGCAGGCAAGTGCTTGCTTTTTCATGCTTATGATGACCTTCCATATTACTAGGGATTATTTTGGAAATATCATTGGTAAAGGTTATTGGTCTGCATGGTGCCTGTAAGATTTGATTTTCTGCTGTGGCCTCGCAATGACTCTTTTGGGTAATTCTGCAGGGAACCTCGAGGGTTTGGTTTTGTCCAATATGTTGATCCTGCTGATGCTGGAGAAGCCAAATACCAGATGGATGGCCAGATCCTTCTTGGTCGAGAGTTGACTGTTGTTTTTGCTGAAGAGAACAGGAAGAAACCAGCTGAGATGAGGCAAAGGGAGCGAGGGAGGTAGGCTTTCCAGAGCATTTACCGAGCTACGGTTTACATTTTAGTCAGTTTGAGAACAAATTTGGTATTTCATTGTTTATTAGTGGGAAGTTCTTCCGTCTTCCAGCTTCAAAGGAAATAGTTGCATACATATCATTTTTGAATCTGCATCCAATTTAAATATTTCTAGTCCTAACCTCATAACAGGTCAGGTAGATACGTTGTTAAATCTCTAATGATAGTTAAAAGAAATGTAGGAGTATAATTTACATAAAGTCTTAGCTTCCTTGGAGGAGATATAGATTGTACAATGACCTATTGAGATGTGTGTGGTATTTGAAGGAATGTATTCTTTTTGGAGATATCTAGTTGTCTGCATGTCATTGGGAGTTTTACATGTTAGTTCTGAATTGGCATCCGTTTGAACATTTTTAGTTCTAAGCATGTAACTGGTCAAGTCTATACTTTGTTTCATTTGTTATGATATTTAAAAGAAATGTATGGATGTATTACTTTAACATAAATTCTTAGCTTCCTTTGGAGGAGATATGGATTGTATAATGGAACTATCGAGATGCTTGTGGTGTTTTCAGGGATATCTAGTTTATCTGCCTCTTATTGGGAGTGTATGCTGATATCTATCTTAATAGTTGGTTGTATAAGGCTTGTCTAGCATGTTCAGAATTCTTAATTTTGTATATTTGTGTAAAAAGGTTGTGCTGCTAATCATGTTCATAAGTCCATGAAACAAAGAAATTTCTAGGCAAATTTGATTTCTTTTTAGAGATATCTAGTTTATTTGCATGTCATTGGGAATTTCTGCTGATAGATCTTATAAGGGGGTTGCATAAGGGCTTGTTTGGTAGGTTCAGAATTCTTAATTTTCTTTGTCTAAATGTTATGCTGCCAAACATGTTCAAAAAGTCCATGGAGCGAAGAAATTTCATTGTAAATTTTGGTGCTCTCTCTCTCTCACAACTTTCATTGTGCTTTCTGTTTCAGAGGAGGTCGATATAATGATAGGAGAAGGTCTCCCCCTCGTTACTCTCGTTCACCGCGATATTCTCGGTCTCCACCTCGTCATGGGAGATCTAGGTCACGAAGTCGTGATTATTCCCCTCCTAAAGAGAGGCATTACTCGAGGTGCGTGATGTGTTTTTCTGACTTTAATGATCTGAAGTATTTTGTATTTTGCTTTAAGGGTTTATGCTATCTATATGTACTTTAATGTAATTTTGTGCTGTTTGTTATGAAGTAGATCTATATCACCCCAAGATGGACGGTACAGTCGAGATAGATATTCTCGTTCTCCACTGTACAATGGCTCAAGGAGCCGGAGTCGGAGTCTTGATAGGGGCCAAGGTCGGAGCAGGAGCAGAGGCCGAAGCCTGAGGCGAAGCAGAAGCCAGAGTCCAAGACGGAGCGGTAGCCGAAGCCACAGCCCCAGACGAGTTGAAAGCCCAATGAGAAGCAGAAGCCAGAGCCCAAACCATGAGGGGTACAAGAGGGAAGTAAATGGAGAAAGGTCTCCCAGTCAGTGATGTTGCGCAGCCAATGGGATGCATTGTAGTTTTCTTTGTAGGTGCGGTATTGTTGATGATGGGGGCTGGTGTTTGAACTGAAGTTTGTCAGGGTAGTTTGTTGGTGTTTTAGTCTACAGCTAGCTTTGTGAAAAAATTCAGTTATTTGGCGCTGAGATATTCAAAGGCATGGCTGTGGTAGTGGTAACTAGTACTCTACTCTAGTAGTAGCATAGTAATTGTGTTGAGGGTACTGACTTGTCCAAAATTATTTTGATGACCTTTTCTTCTTTGTTCTCCGTACAAATTGATTAAATTGTAGATGGATTCATATGCTGCTGCTTGATGGAGGGAAAACGTCATTGGCAAATGACTAGATGGGGCCACTATAACATGGATGGTTGTAATTCTTATTCCGCCTGCTGCAGCAGCGGCAGCTGCCGCACCATATCTTGGAGGGGTGAAGGTTGGGCAGGGGGGGCCATGTAAGAGGCGAAAAGGACAGCCTTTTTTGACAAATTAGGATCCCATGCCATTGCTTTGCCCTTTACAACTAAGCGGCGCCTGTTTTCGTCTCTGCACTCTCTTGCTCTGCCCTTCATTTACTTGAAATGTTGCCATTGTCTTTGTCAATGCCTTTTTGGGATCATCAGATTTTTGATTCACAATTAGCTGAGGTCTGAGTGCTCCCTTCCCCTCCTTTCCTTTATCTGCCCTTTGTGTGAACTTGCCTCCTTTTTTGACCTAATTGGAAATTAAATCAATTTGCTGGACCCATTCAAAAAAAAAAAATGAATTGGGAATTAATTAAAATATTTATTTGTTTATACGATAAATTGGTATGATGAAATAATTGTATAATATTTTCATCAATATCGTATCATAGTAAATATATATAAAATATCAAAAAATCCTGCTTTAGAAGGAAAAATGAAAAGTTTTCATGGTATAGCCTCGTCAACTCCTAAAAAAGAAAAATGAATTGAAGTGTTTTGGAGGGAAAATCACACAAAAAAAATCCGAAAAAGAAGAGACAGTGTAAGACTACAAGCCTGGGCTGCTGATTACGCAGTAACTGAACACACGGCGACAATCTCGATGCCTCAGACAAATATTGTGCAACTTCTTCTATATTGACTCAGATGCTACCCTGCTTTGTAAGATTCTTTAACAAATAAAAAATGAAAAAACAGTTTAATATATTTCAGTCACAGACCAACAGCATCCAACAAAAGTAGCCAAAGACAAACTAGGCTTTGTTTCACACGCTCACCGGCTCAGACCGAGACCCTCATACTTCAAGCAAGCACAAGCTGCCATCAGAGGTTTCTTAACTCTGAAACCTTCTTCCCTTATTAATTAAACTACTACTTACTGCTTATATTGTAGTTGGTTTTTTTTTCCTTTTATTTATTACGTAATTATGGGTTATGCTTCTTTATTATTGTATTTAATGCAAACAGTGTTTTATATGAGTGAAAGCTCTACAGCTCTGTTTGTTTCCTTTTCTTCGTGCTGCTCTGTTTTCCACATTCTTGAATAGAAAAAGGTTACTGTGGGGCTTTTCGAATCCTTTTCCCATTCTCACTTTGTCTTCCTTGTACTGGGATTTTTCGTTTGGTGTCTTTAAACGCTTCTTTTTCTGGTTTTCTTTTCCAGGATTTTGGGTTGCAGAATTCTCATTTTTTGGCAGCTGGGCTAGTTGGATCAGGTGCTTTTCAACTACCTGCTCTTGATTTCTTCATCTGCTAACCTTTTCTTACTATTATTATGTGGAGTTTGGCTTCTGGGTAGTTTAAGAATGCAACTTCTGGGGATCTTTGCGTGTGGGTATTTTGGGATTACACTCTTCTTGCACTGTTTCCTTTCCATTAACAGTTTTCTGTGCTCAGAATGTTAAAAGCTGGTTTGGATATTTTAGATCCTTATATTCTTTTTAGAAAATACTGGGAAATGTTGCTTGCAGAAAATAAACTTGAAGCAACTGCTGGAGGCATCTGTTCCTTATAATTATCACTGTCCTTTTCTTCCCTCTAAACTAAACTAGTCGCTATTCTTCAAGAAATTTTCTTCCCTTTTTTATTTTGGTATTTTCTACTGTTTTAGCAACTGCCAACTAGGGCTGCCTCGTTATTCTTTTAACGCTACCTTCTGGGAGTCATGAAGCGTACAAGATGATCTACATAAAGTACTTTTGCAAGATGAATAAAATACTGTCTATAATGAGCAAAATTACATGTACAATGGGTTTTAAATTGCTGTGGACCTAATAAATCCTGCTAATTCTGTGATTTTTGCTTGACATATGTCAATAGCATTTTTGCTATAGACTACCGCATGTGATGAATGTTATGCAATGTCTTATTTCACAAGAGGTCCACATCTTCCCTATCCTATAATACATGAAGGTGGATTCTTTACTAATGTGCTTCAAAGGAAAATGGTATATTGATCCTTCATAGCTGAATTTGGTTTCATCTACCTGGTTAGCACATGCAACACTACTTTTCAACTTCTAGCTAGAGCCCTCTAAAACAAAATCTTTTGAGGATTGATTCTTCTCTTCAACTTGTTGGCTAGCATAGTTAGTATGATTAAAGTAGTTTTCTTTAGTATAGGTGCCTCAACAGCAGAGTTGTTGGTTTCATGTATATTCCAGTCATTTGGCTTAGACAACTTTTGTTGATGAAATGGACTTTTGAGTTATATAGAATTGATTCATACTTTGACTATTTTCGGAGTTAGCATTTGCTTGCATACAAGTTGTACATATTTGCAGTTCATTTCTAATACCCAAGGCCATTAAATTTTGAAGTGGTTTGACTATATATTTAGAGTACTTTGGGCTTTTATGATTTGCTTTTTTTGTTTCTTTTTTCTTTAATAAATTCTCAGCGTGACCGAATTTAACTATCATCTGCTGTGTCTGATTTTTCTTTTGTTTGCAGAACATTTGGCATTTAAGCTGCAGCTCAGAGTAAACAGCAGGAGACTGCCCATTTAGGTTGAAGTTTTTTTATGATCAGATGATTCTTGAAAGATGTCTTGCAAGCATGCTTCTGGTTCTAATTGGCATGTTTGCCAATGTGCTAGGTAATTTAGCAAATTTCTTGAGGGTTTCTCGTTTTGCTAAATGTCTACTTGGAAGCTAATATCATACAAGTCAACCGCTATGAGTTAGATGAGGCTTTAGAAATTACCTCTGGGTTAGGTCTTCCTGTGAGTCTTAAAGCATCAGCTGTCAATAATATAATCTTTATAAAGGATATTTCTAGTCAATGAGATTGTTTTTTGATTTTATTTTTTCAATAGTAACCAGTGTTGGTACTTCGTATGACTCAAATACTACCAGTGAACATCATTGTAAAATTGAAATCAGGTTTGTTATAGTTACCGGTAATTAATACTTCAAATTGGTTCAGCCTGCATTTTGCTTGTCTTAGTATCTAAAAGGTGCTTATCAGACATGCCTTCAAAGATTTAGAGACCATTTGAAATCAAAATGATTGTGTTTTGTTCCTTTCTTTCTTTTCTTTTATATTTTGTCTGTCCACAACATGCACTTTTTTGGGCTTTTCCTTGGTTTCTGGCTAAGTAGGTGTATGTTTTCTTGAGTTGTGGAGAATGATGGTGAAATATTGAGGCTTTTGTAGCTAGGATAGGTAGTTCATTGAGGGAATATTGATGTAAAGGAATAAAATCAACCAATGGTTGCACCCGAGCATTTGACTCATTGGTTGGTGCATGATTCCCCTGTCTAAAGAGCAAGGTTCTAATTCCCCTTCCCCTAATTATAAAAAAAAAAAAAACCTATGGTTCCCTTGTTTATAACTTTTGTAGATCACATTGAAGCAAATGCAGTCCAAAAAAATAAAAAATGAAGCACAATGGAACTGCCGTCACCATTAAGATGCTATCACCTTTAATAATCCAGTGGGGCAATTTGTTTTTCATTTTAGTTACAAGGGTCTTCTTAAGCTGTTAGGTAATCTAGAAAGGGAAACATGTAATAGTATTTCTTGCTGGTTCTTACTGACTTAGATTCTTGAATGTATAGGTGCATTCGTTGGAATAAACATAGGTACTGATGTTTCCAGCATGCCGTCAGCTTCAGACGTGGTTGCTGTCGTCAAAGCCCATCAAATTACTCACATACGCCTTTATGATGCTGACTCTCACTTGCTGAAAGCCTTCGCGGACAGTGGGATTGAAGTTACAGTTGGTGTGACAAATGAGGAAGTCCTGGGAATTGGAGAATCTGCATCTGCAGCTGCAGTCTGGATCAACAAAAATGTTGCATCCTATGTGCCTTCAACCAACATTACAGCCATTGCTGTTGGCAGTGAGGTTCTTACCTCAATCCCCCATGCTGCCTCAGTTTTAGTTACTGCTATGAATAACCTCCACAAAGCTCTTGTGGCTTCAAATCTAAATTTCCAGGTCAAAGTTTCAACCCCCCAATCCATGGACATCATCCCCAAGCCTTTTCCCCCCTCTACTGCTGCCTTTAATTCTTCATGGAACTCCACAATATACCAGCTTCTTCAGTTTTTGAAGAACACTAACTCCTATTACATGTTAAATGCCTATCCCTATTATGGTTACACTAATGGAAATGGCATTTTTCCAATTGATTATGCTCTTTTCAAACCTCTTCCCTCTGTCAAACAAATTGTTGACCCAAACACTCTCTTCCACTACAACAGCATGTTTGATGCAATGGTTGATGCAACCTATTATTCTATTGATGCTCTCAATTTTACTGGGATCCCTATTGTTGTCACAGAAACAGGTTGGCCTTGGGAAGGTGGATCCAATGAGCCTGATGCCACTGTGGAAAATGCTCAGACCTTCATTAATAATTTGATCCAGCGAGTTTCCAATAATTCAGGTCCACCTAGTCAACCAACTATTCCCATCAACACATACATTTATGAATTATTTAATGAAGACAAGAGACCAGGGCCTACCTCTGAGAAAAACTGGGGGGTGCTTTTTCTGAATGGCACTGCTGTTTATCCTCTTAGTTTGAGTGGTTCTAGACAGATTACTGGAAATTCTACTACAGTTTTCTGTGTGGCAAAAGATGACGCTAGTGAAGATAAGTTGCAAGATGGGCTTAACTGGGCATGCGGGCAAGGCCAGGTCAATTGCAGTGCTATACAATCAGGGCAGCCGTGTTATCTACCAAATAACATAAAGAACCATGCAACGTATGCTTACAATGATTATTATCAAAAAATGCATAGCCTTGGTGGGACATGTGATTTTGATGGGACAGCTACAACTACTACTAATAATCCGAGTAAGTTTGCACCAGTTTTCTCATCATTCTTTATCTTTTTAATTTTATCTATGATTTTTATCTTTTTAAAATAGGTAAGTAGAATTTAATTTCCAGTCTAGTGAGAACTTTTGATTGCAGGCTTAAATGATGCAATGTCAATACCAAGGTTTTTCCTTTAAAATGAAATTGATATTTCTTAGATAGTTTACCAAGCGAACTAAGCTTAGTGTGTGATCCTTTTTAAGGAAAGAAACATACCTTTTTGGAGGTACAAAGCGAAGTACTTGAAAGTACTAATATTGCAATCAAAACAAAAAAAAGAAAATTGCATTAAGTAGAGTGATTGGTGATTGTATGCACATATATCTAGTTGTTTAGTGTGGATCTTCTTGTTAGCATTTCTAATTGTAAAAACCCCCTGATCTTAGGTAAAAAGTACAATTTTCCCTTGCAATTCAAAAGGGCAAAACTAGATAAGATTTCTTGGATCAAGTTTGTCAGATTCCTCATTCAAAGCAATTAAATAAAAACCAAAACTGAAAATTTAAAACAATAGTTTGATAGAATTCAATGAATAGATCTAGAATATGAGAAAACTAATTATAAGTAGTATCATACATGAAATGTAACCAATTGTTATTGAAGGGAGATAGTTTTGTTATAACTTTTAATTAAAATGCCTGTTTAAATAATGGATCAGAAATTGTTTAGATCATTCAAAGTTTTGTATGCTTGATCTATTTAACAAGGTCTATAAATCCATCTGTTTAGATTCTTGATTTTAAGTTTTATGTAATTGTGTTAATGGGGAACCTTAGGAACTTGCTTAACAAGCCTTAGTGCCATTTTGCAAAAGCACCGACTTGTCCCCTTAAGAAAGTAATGGTTTAGCAATTTAAACTAGTTTCAAATGTTCAAGATATGGTATTTTTATCTATTTCTTTCGGTTTCCAGTAGCCCTCTTTTTGTTTTGTTTTAATCAATTGGCGACCACCTAATTTCTTTTCTACCATTTTATTTATTTCCCTTTTTCCGAATTCCTTTTGTTTCATTTATCATTTTCTTTATTTCTTCATTTTTAAGTATTGAACTTAAAACCAATGGCAATAGGTGGAGAAGTCCAACTTGAATATAAGGCTAGAACAAACCCTTAACTTAGCTAATGTGGGAGAACACCACTTAACACTTGTTTTGTTTATTTTTTGCTTTTTTTTCTATTTTGTAATTTAACTAAATTTCTTTGTCACCTAAACCACCCTCCCTATGTAATCATTTTATTTAGGTCAAATGTCCTACTTAAGATCTAATCTTTGCACAAATTTTCAATAGAGGATGTAACATAGTATTTTGAACAATTTGAGATTTTAGCTTTCTAGATTTGTTTAAAAAAGGAAAATTGATAAGGGAGTTTAACGATTGCTGATTAAATGACCGCGATGTGGTATAGTGCCATTGTTTCCATGTAAAAAGATTACCATGTAGCAGCTAACGTAGAATTTAGTATTTTTTTCTTCTGAAAACAGAGTTAAGTATTTTCTCTTTTCTTTTCTTTCTTTTCCTTTTATATCTCTGGTGCTCTCCATTCCCTTCCATTGTGCCAACTATGGCCCAAGCAATAGCAAGCTCCAGCCTTGTAAAGCTAGGCTAGTGAACAATCACTTCTTACTTTCCTGATTAGCCTGTGAATATTTCTGTCCTGGAAGTTGGTTTTTTTTATGGTGGCATTGCTTCTTCTCTATTTCCATCACAAAACTCTTGGAGATCTTACATCTCTCTAGAAAAAGTATCAGATACTTCCCCAATGCACATTACTATCTTTATTCTCTAGTCTTTGCTAATTGCTCCAAGCCACTTCCTACTCTTCTTCTGATCCTGAAACTTTGGTCTGACATTGCCCTTCATAACCCAGTTTTAGTTTCTGTCAGTTTTGTCCTAATTCTTCGTCAGATTCTTTAAATTAGTTCTTCAACTGAACCATTTCCATCAACAACAAACATACGTTCTTCAATTTTCCAATTGTTACATTTTAGTAGATGTAATGGTTACAGATTTCCAATATTGAATATTGGTCCCAGATTCTTAGAAGCTAGTCGCGGATGTTGGTTGTTGTATGTATATATTTCACTAATGAGTTCTGTCTAGTTGCTTGTGTGTGTGCATTCTTGTTTCGGGATTGGATTTTTCTTACTATTTGAATCATGCAAATTCTTTTTTCATGCGCTCGAAGATTTGCCAATCTTATTTCTGTATTTTTTACCCCTTGTCATGCTGTCTACTATCATGGTTGTACTGTGCTGTCTATTAGGTTAACTGCTATAATTCTTCTGGAGTAGGAAATCTAATCAACAATGAAGTCTTCCACTTTTTCATTATTTCCGTCCGGGATGAAGTAGCCATTGTGCAGACTTCATATTGAAAGCAAAAAAGGTTGAACCTTTTTGACAAAGTTCTAATTGCACTTCGCATTGTTAGTGAAATTTACTGGCTTTGAATTTGGACATAAACATTTACAGAGTGGGAAACTCTATTAAAATCTGTGTTGTCATAAAGCATCTGGCATGATTTGAATTAAAATTTGGTGAAGACTTGAATCTGAAATAATCTGCCTGAACTGTATTCAACCCAATTTGATGTGACCAGAAAAAGTCAACAACCCGAATATGCCTAACCCAAACTCGAAATGACTTGAACCCTAAAACATGTTGAACCTGATATTGGATTGACTCAAATCTGGAAATGACTGGAAAAGCTAACTCGAAATGACTCGAATCCAAATAATTTGTCAAAATCCAATTTCATTTGACTTTTAAAAAATCAACAACTTGAACCAAAAATGTCGTGAACCTGATTAACTTGTGTTTTGAACCCAAAATACTTGAATTCAAAATGATCCAAACTCGAAAAGACCTGAATCCAAAATGATCTGAACTTGAAATAACCAAATATGAAACAACCTGAAATGGTCGACTCAATATGACCCAACCCAAACCTAGCCTAATCTGCCCAATTGTCACCTTTATTTGTATGCATGTCAAGAAGTGGATGTGGAGGTGATTTGTTGGCTAGCTTGCTGTTGGTGCTCGCAAAGTTGCTGGAGCAGCAGGAGGGAATGGGGGGTCAAAAGGGGAAAGAAAGAAAAGAAAAAAGATACGAAGGAAAAACTAAAATCAAACTTAGCTCTGTATGACAATTTTTCTTGTAGCATATAAATGATTGTACATTTTTGTATAAATGTGGTAGTTGTTCCGTTCATTAATAGTAATTCATTACATTGTATTATCTTTACTTTATTAGACAAATATAGAAAACTAAGATCCCAAATTGATCAAAATAATAAGTTACATCCTTGATTCCTTGATTGAAGAATTTAGCAAACGATAGATCTAAATGGGGCATTGAGCCTTTTATTTTTTTATTTACTTTGAATTCCCCGTTTGACATGTTTTATTTTCTTTTTGGTTACAAGACAATATTGTAGACCATCGAACTGTCTAGCAACTACACTGATCTGCCCATGGACATAGGCCATTTGCTGTATTGACAGTTGACATGTTAACAAAATAATTCAACACTGATACCAAATTCACATATGTACATTGGCTGTGCCACATCTTACCTACTATTGATTTTTATGTCTCATTTGCATAATAATATTTTCTTGTAGGGGAGGTATCATAGTTAGAAGTGTAATGTATATGTATTTTGTACGTGATTTTTGTGTGCTGATTTTGCGTTTTGACTGTTTTTATTCCTCTCTCTCTAAAAGACAAAGTTTCCTATCGAGTGTGTTACATCCAAAAATATGCTCAAATTCTTGGCTTTATAAGCCCTATCTTCTGCCACATCAACCATATTGCATTCAATTGTTGTCTTATTATTCAATAATCAAGAATTCTTCCCATCTTCATATGTGTTGATATCCAGCTTTAGTCAATTTTTTGGCTAATTACTTTATTGGTGGATCACTTGTGCAGGTTATGGGTCTTGTCTATTTGCAGGAAGGTGAGGTTCTAAATCTTTTACAGTGTAGGTGTTCCATATTAACAATGATATATTTAGGATCATGACCTTTTTTGTTTTCTTGAGCAGTTTAAATTCAACCACAGCTAGAGGTGGAGGGATTTCATCTCCTGAAGCTTTTGGTCCTATAAGTCCTTTTGGAAAGAGTACAAAGCTTCCTGTTTCCAAGTTTCAGTTTCTAATCTCAGCAGTTTGTCTTGCTGTAGTCTTGTTATAACTCGCAAGTATATTGGCGGGATTAAAATAGTCTCCAACATGACAATGTGATGAAATCACAGTACAACGTGAAGTTGGATGCAGAATGTAATGAGTATCACAAAAGCTCAATCTTCATGGCGCTGTTGGCTTATTCATGGTTACCAATTTTGCTTGTGTTTTTAAGTTGGTCTAATCCCAGTTTATACTCATAGCCCACCACTCCCAGTTATCAGGTGCCTTGTGGGGTTCTTTGTATTGTATGATCTTCAAGTGGTAGCAGTAGCCATCCTAGTTCTAGCATTGATTTTTTTGGGGCATGAGTAAACTTGGATTTGTTACCTTGACATTGACAATGGAAATGCAATTCAGTTCTATTTTCTCTTGTTTCATAGTTTTGTACCTTATAAGGCAAAGTTACATATTCTGCTTGTCAGTCTTTTGACCATTCATTTCTACATTTTCTTTTTGTTATAAATGAAAAAAATGTACTTATGATATATTTTGTATCAAATATGAGAATGTCTTTCCAAGTTTAGTAATTTGGAAAACAAAAAATTATAATTTTCCCATTACAAAGGGAAAGTTACATTCCCTCCCTCCATGATTATTAAGAATCAAATATCCATATGATATTTTAATTAGTGTTTTTTTTATACCAAACAATGAAAATGTGTTTGGTAATTGGAATACCATCCTAGAAAACCATTTGACCACTGCTACTACTGTTTAAAAACGCGAGGAAGAAAAAGGAAAAAGCTGTGAAACGGTGCGTTGGGAGGATTTTGAGTGCAAGGGCAAGTAACAAGGATGAACAAGAGCAGTAGCGTTCTTAAAGCCCAAGAGAAGAGTGGGGGAGGATCGTATTCGTAATGATGATAGGAGGAGGAAGATCTTCGTCGTCTTCAACAACAGCAACAGCGGCAGGTGGAACATGGGTTTCAGCAGCTTCTGTGTCCACTTCAGGGAAGAGGATACAAAGGGAGATGTCTGAGCTCAACGCGGACCCTCCTCCCCATTGCTCTGCCGGCCCCAAGGGTGACAACCTCTACCACTGGGTCGCCACCATCATTGGCCCTCCAGGTTTTCGCTTTTCTTTCGACATTTTTATGCTTTCTCACAATTGGGTATTGTATACTTGCTTCTTCTTTCCTAGGATTTTACCATTTTTGAGGAATGGGTGCTTGTCACATTTCTGGTTTATTGTCTAATTTCTCTAAAATCCCATTTCTTTTTTTGTGCGGAAAACATTTTGTTTTTCGGTGAATGTTCAGCCCACTCAGAATATCTTTATGTAAGTGGGTTTTGTTGAATTTTCATGTTTTCTGGTCAATGATATGATTTTTTGGCTTTGAGAAATTAGTTTAACCCTGTTCAATTTCATTTCCAGGAATTTATTTTATTACTATTGAGAAACAGATTGTTGCTGAAGGCCCTTTTTTCCTTGCTCAATGTTCTTTTTTTGTTTTTGAATTATTTGGCTGCTTCAAAGTATAGTTGCTTCAATTTCTTGTTGTCATGCTTGATCTTGCTATTTTCTTTTTGTTTTCTTGGGTTTTGAATGTTAGCTTAAACCTTCTTGCTTAGCTCTTGTTTTGATGATCAATCGTTGTCAATCCGGATGTTAATTAGTGGTCTAGTTAGACGCTCCTTTTTGTAAGACAATTAAAGGAGAAAGGATCAATTGTACCAAGGTCTCTTATAATAAGTAAATGTGGTAACTTCACTTTCAAGCACAGTACTGACCAAAACCTGCAGATCAAAATTAGTTGAATTTTAACAAAATTAAAAATTCATTTAAAAGAAACAAAAATTGAAGAATATTTGTAACCGGACTTGATAATAAAAGGAGTAATGTTAAACATGATCTCGGCCGGCTTAAACAGGCATAAGTCTTCAATGTGCTTTCAGTTACAGCTGCACTTTATTATTGATTCTTTTTTTTTTTCAATTGAATAGTATTTTTGAATGAATTTGGTTTTACTTTTAGCTTCCAAAAGTTGTTATCTATTGTATTTGTTAGTGTCCAAAGGATAAAAAATTTAACTCAACGATATTGAAAAGCTTCCTCATGTTTATTTTTGTAGGAACACCATACCAAGGTGGCATATTTTTCCTTGACATAACATTTCCGAGTGATTATCCCTTTAAACCTCCGAAGGTATGCTCTTTAGTCATATTTTTGAACATTAGTAAACAATATTTTTATTGTCTAACATGCCTATTGGATTGCGTTATATCTTACTCTCACATTCTCTCTCTCTCTCTCTCCGTATATGTGTATGTGTGTATACACACACACTTGCACACAAAACACACAAATTTGCACGCACACTCATGGAGAGAGAGAATGTGAGAATAAGATATGATGCAATCCAAACAGGTTATATATGCGTGTTGCATGTGTGTGTATGTCAATAACTCTCATAGAGTTTCAAGACAAAATGGGGGTGGAGGTGTTTGAATGATGATGATTGGTGTGGCTGAAAAATGTATAATTATTGTTAGATATTTGACCCAAATTTAATTGGGAATCAATATGGATTCCAATGAAATTTTATTGGTTGCAAGTTACTTAGGGATTAAATGGGTAAGAGTTCTTAATCAGTAGGAACTCTTGGTGAGTAAATAATAAGGTTTTATAAATATGGAGCAGGTCTTCACATTTAGAATTATGAGTTATGTAATCTCTATGTGAGAAAAGAGTTTCCTGTAAGGGTTTTACGGAATTGTAGGGATGTGAGAAAGAGTGAGAAAAACACCAGGTTAGATGGGATAGAAGATATTCCATGGATTTAAATACTAGTAAGCATGTACACTAGGTTTATTTCGGGCCTTAATTTTAGTGTATGTTTATGGGTGTTTTGTACTTTCTTTTTGTACTCTCTACATTTATAGTGATTTTTTTTGACGTCCGTGGATGTAGGGAATCACTGCCAAACTATATCAAATGTTTTCTCTTGAGTGCTATTCTTGTTTCTGTTGATCTCGATATTGAATACGTTTCTGCCTAAATATCCTAAGAATTGGTACCAGAGCATGAGTTGGAGAATTGTAATGATGCAATTATGAAGAACGAATTGTGATACAGAGATGATAATTCGATTTGGTGGGATTTATTGCTGCAGATTCTGTTCGTGAGATCTGTAGATGTAGGCAATGCATGTTGAAGCACATTAAATATAGTCTCTTGTTTGTTATTTGTGTTTGTGTTTGTGTTGATCTGGATGTTGAATATATTTCTGCTTGAAAATCCCATCAAATGGTACCAGAGTACGAGTTGAAGAATTGTAATGATGCAATTATAAAGAACGAGTAGTGATGCAAAGATGATGATTCAATTTGGTGGGATTTGTCATTGCAGATTGTGTTCGTGAGATAGGAGACATGCAAGAGGAGATCTGTTGTAATAAGGTATTAGTTGCAAGTGGAGTAATTCTTAATTGATCTAGCAGTGCTCCAATGAATCTCTGGATGTTTGTGAGAAATTGATGCTCAAGATATGAAGGCAGCATGCGCTGATGTTGGGTTAATTGAATGGAGCAAATCTTGGGTTAATGGAACAGAGAACACTGAATACCATAAAGGTTTTCAACTACTCTAGAAGTATTGACTCTTTTCTTGAGATGTATACTCTTACTCATGGTGGTTGATAGACAAGTTTTGGGTGGTGTGACATGTTTAAAAAATGTGCAGTGTAATATTGGTTTGTCAAGAAAATCGCACATGGTAAGGTAGTCTCGATGAGAAAAGAATTGTGGCAATATTGTCTATGGGAGATTAATAGAGAAAACAAAAGATCTTGATGGTGATGGTTGATATGGTCTTTGGATGGTGAGAGACAATTTCTGCTAGAGAGATTAGATCGAGATTCATCTCTAAAGTCAACAAAGGTGAGTTGGCTTGATGGTTATGTGTGAGTATTGGTCGTACCGCTTGAATAAGGTGGAGTCAGGACTAATTTGATATGTGTAGTCAAGATTATTTCAAGACCAATATTTTGGCAGAAGTTGTGTCAAAAAGTGGAGATTGTTAGTTCTAATGCATTATATTGGTTGAGAGTTACTTGCTGATTAAGTCTATTTAAAAAAATAAATATACGTAATGTGTAAGAGCTCTTAAGAAGTAAGAATTTTTGGTGATCAAGTGATAACGCTTTATAAATATGGAGTGGGTCTTGGTCTTTATATCATGAGAGATGCAATTTCTACGTGAGAGATGAGTTTTCTACGAGGTTTTACAGAGTTGTAGGGATGTGAGGAAGAGTGAGGAAAACACCGAGTTGCATGGGATAGAGGGTATTACATAGATTTAAACGCTCATGATCATGGAAATTGGGTTTAATTTGGGACTTGGTTTTAGTGTGTGTTTTTGGGTGTTTTTTACTTTTTGTTATATCTAAATTTATAGTGAATTTTCCTTTCTTGTCCTTGAATGTAAGCAATCGATGCCAAACCACATTAAGTATTTTCTCTTGTGTGTGATTTATTTATGTCGATCTCGATGTTATGTACGGGTCTGCTTAAAAATCCTAACAATTATATATGGATGTTAACTACCAGCAATCTCATTTCTGTATGGTAATTCTCTGGATGAAAAGTGAGCTCCAATTACATTTAATATATAACATGCGGGGCATTCCAGCTATTGCTGTATATCTAGGTCAATTTTGTGGGTGTTTGGCAGATGCCACTAAAAGAGTTTAGACTAGAGAAATCTTAGTATCTTCTTTTCCTGCCTACCTGGTACCATCCCACATTCCCTCCTACTGCCTTTGTTCTCACTCATGTTGGAAGATGCATTATTATATGGTATATGGCTAATAAGTTGATGATTCAATGACAGTTCAACTGGGTGACATGTCATTTAAATGCGTGCTGTCGTAGGAAAATATGTGTGGCCACTTCATGAATTATGGCACCACTCAAAATCTCTAAACCTTGAACTCATTTTGTTAATATGGAGATTATACCTTTTACTCAAAGTTCAGACATATATGAGGTCCTGTCTATATGAGAGATCTATTTACTTTTACTCAAAATATAGGATGCTGAACAAATTTCTTCTATTATATGTATATTGTACAGCTAGATGCAACTTTTGGGTAGCTTTTCTATGTAAATTATGAATTGAACAACTTTCTGTACTACTTTCATAATTTGTTCTTTATTTCTTTTGATCATATGTACTATTTTCAGGTAGTATTCAAAACTCGAATATATCACTGCAATGTTGATGCGGCTGGCAATCTTAGTTTGGACATCTTAAAGGATAGTTGGAGCCCAGCCCTAACAGTTACGAAGGTGCTATCTGCAATCAAATCAATTTTCACAAATCCCGACCCTTGTAAGTTTCCCAATTCCTCTTGGGTAGTCTATCATCTCTTAATGGGTAGGCGGGTGAGTTGGGAGGCTATTTGTGGAGTTAAAGCAATATTATCCTATGAGTAACTATGAGGCAAGAAGAAAAAAAAAAAGCTGATGCTAGTTTTGAGCAAGGAACATTTAACAATATCTATTTCATGTTCAACACTTCAAAATATGTTGTCTATAAGCTTGTAGAAATGAAATTGACTTGCAATGATGCAATTGCTTCAAATAGCATGATTATGCTCCAGTGAGATATGCCATTATCATGCTGAATATGTGGGTTCTTGTTATGGCAGATAATCCTCACATCTCTGGCATTGCTCGATTGTACTTAACCGATAAAGCTAAACATGATGAAATAGCTGCAGAGTGGACGCTGCGTTTTGCCAAATAATCCCCGATTAGTCCTTTAGGGCAGCCCTACAAGCAGCACCCGAAGTTTCAACTGACTAGATGCAGATTGCATCGTAAATTTAATGGTGGTGAATTAGACTTGTGTCTGTGCTCTTTGGCATCCAGGTTGTTTGATATTGGTAGAAGAACCTGTCTGGTGCTTTGCCAATGAGATGCAAAAATGAATTGTTTAAATTTAGACCTCATTTTGGCAGCAGAAATGAAGCAATGCTGGATCAATGAGGGAAACGCAGCACAATGAGACTGTATATTGGGGTTACTTTGCTATATATATTTGAGGGTTTCTCCCATATGCTTTAGAAATTATATGGTAGCGCTATGTAGTTTAGAAGGAAATCTCCAGTTTTTTTTACTTTTCGCCCCTTCATATTTGCATTAATCCCCAGGTTCTGTCCACAGCATCAGTTTCCACAATCATGTTCCTATTCATCTGAACAAACCAATTGATGTTAGACAAACAATAGTAAAAAATTTAAAAAAAAAATCAAATCTAGGTTTCATTTGTGCATTTTCTAATATTTGAGTGGCAGAAGAGAGGATGATCAACCAAAATCGTTTCAAAGTCAAGGAAAAATGAACTTAAAAACATGCAAGTTATCTTTCATTTGTTTAAAATGGAAGGCAATTTTCAGACTAATCCATACACAATAGATCCTTCTTTGACTAAATTTATCTGCCGGTTGAGCTCTGGAAAAGATTTTTAGATCTGAATTCAGCTCTTAATAGATCTAACAATTTTAGATTTAATCCAAGAAGATATGGAGTTAAATAAGTTTGGTTTTAATTTAAATTATTTTCTGTATCTTAATCGTGTCGATACATTTAGTACGTTTAATTAATCTTGTTATTGTGTTTAATCCATATAATTTGGCACGTTTATCAGCAAGTTTAAGTTTAGTAGTTTTAAACAATTGTTTTGAAAGGATTTGTAAATTTGATTAGGTAATAAGGTAATACAAATCAAACTTTAAAGGTATGTTTGCATCCGAGCATTTGAGTTATTGATTGGTGCATGATTTTTCTACTTAAAGAATAGGGTTCAAATTCCCTTCCTTTAATTCTAAAGAAGGAAAAAACCCTAAGGATATGTTTGGTTTGTGGAATGAAATAACCATTTTGTAGGAATAGAATAAAATATGGATAATTATTATGTAATTTGGTTCTTAAGAATGACATTGGACAATAATTGATATTATGACTGTTAGCTTTAAAATTATTATAGTTTGATTATGACAAAATGGTCAAATTTGCTTGAATATTATTTGAGTAATCCTTGACAAGTTCTTGAAATGATTTAACTCTTATACATTTATTTCTACATAGACACAAGCTTGACTCTTGAAGTTATTGAATTATATCTATAAACTTGTCTAACTTAGGTGTATGAGTGCTTATGATTCTCATTTATTAAAATTTGATTTGAAGATTAAACAAAAATCTAGATGCACTCATTAAGGGGGAGTTTTGAATATCTTTATTAATGATAACTAAAAAAGAAAAAAGGAAGGCTAAGTTAAATAGAGTTTAATAAACTTCATGTTTAATTTATGTATGGTGCTTAGTTATGGTTTTATTGAATACTATGTACTAGTTATTATGGATATTCAATATATTTTGTTTAGTTACGGTGGATATTGTATATCTTGTTTAGTCATTGTGGACTATAAATATTTTATTGCAAATCTTTAAAGCAAACTAGATGCATTGACTAAGGGAGAGCAATTCATTATGCACAAAGATTTAAAACATTCATATTGAACATAAACATTGCACTCTTAATCTAGGAATGTTTTATCTTCAGAAAAAATAAGAGAGAGAATCTTGACTCTATATATTTTTGATGATAGCAAAACATTTCCATTCATTAGTGTCTAATTATATTGTTTAAGTGTACAAGAGAAAGCAAGTCAAGATGTTTGTTTAGTTGCAAGATCGGTTAATTGGCCAAGCAAGTAAAAAAAGAAAAAGCTTTAATAAAAACAAATTAGTTTTAACTGATTAACAAAAATCTGTAATCAATTAAACAATTCTAGGTGCTACATTCGAGATAACAGAAAGGTTTTAATTGATTAATACAAGATTTAACAATTAAGTAGGTGTTGGATGCAAAATAAAAGCTTTTTAATCAGTTAAAGGAAAGAAGTTAACTAGTTAAAAGTTAAAAGTTAAAGTGATAAGACGCGTCAAAATTCAAATTCAAAATATTGATGATCATCTAAAGCGCCAAACCAAGAGATTAAAGTTGAAGAATTCTTATTTGGTTGGAGCTCATTTTAATCAGTTAAAGATGAATGGAAAGAAGCTTCAATCAGTTAAAAGAAGCATTAATCGGTTGAAAAGAGGCTAGCCAAAAACGGTGCTTGAAAACAAAAAGTTATTAACTAATTAAAATTGTCATTAATTGGTTAACATAGAGAAGTAGTGTGCAAGTTAGAGAAAACTTAATCAATTAAGAAGTATGAATAATAGCTAAAAGCTCACTGTCAGAAATTTGAATTTAAGCATAAAAGGTCAAAATAACGATCAAAACTGACTAGTTTCTATCTCCAACGACCAGTAGTGATTTTACAAGTATTTAAAGTCTCTCCAATAGTAAAAAATGATATAAAAAAGCCATCTAAAGTGATTTTCTGCTTAGAAGAGTAAAAACCTTCTCTTTACACTTATATTTCACCCACATTATCTGAAAAAGTGTTTGAGCTTAACTTTGTACATCTTAGATCAACTAGGTGATCAATTGTACTTCATCTTTTCTCTATTTCCTATTTACTTAGAGTGTGAGAGACACTTTAAGGGGTAGATCAAGCTTGGGCTAGCTTTGTTGTTGTTATAGATTCTAACATAGCCCTAGAAAAGTTAGTTTTTGATTTTTGTTGATCTCAGGAAAAACCATTATTAAAGGTTGTGACTGAACCTATACAAAGCCATTGTAAAAGCTGCGTGGAAGCTTAGGAATTCTACTGATTTTAGTGAATTAGTTTGAAAATCTTTGATTGAGAGATCAATGAGTGGATGTAGGTTAAGGGGACCGAACCAATATAAATCATTGTGTTTTGTCTTTTTTTTTTTTTAATTTTCTTCTTATTCTTAGCACTTAAATTATTCCTCCAGCAAGTTTTAAACTTTCATTTTCAAATTCCTTTAATAAGCTCTTTATTGGAAATAATTTTCGTGTCATTCCAAAAATGCTATTCACTCCCCTCTAGCATGCTCTTTGGGTCCAACAAGGACTTATTCTAATATTTGGTTGGTAAGAATAATTTAAGGAATAGTTGATAAATGATAAAAATACTCTTTATTAAAATTTTAATTTTTTTTAAAAAAGAAAAAAAACCCAAATAAAAAGGATGATATGAAAATATTCTTAATTATAAGTAAATAATATTTTTACCAAAATATAAAAATATTTTTATTATAATTTAATAATATCTTTTTTAAGCTGTCGCGGAAACCTAAGTCATCTGTCTAGGCTTATTCGGAGGTGTGGTTTTCTTATTAATTGTTATGACAATAATCCTCCAAAGCTTGCCAATTTTATCGATGGATGGGATAGCAAAAAATTAAGTGCGTGTAACAAGATCTTGCACAAAACTTAGGTGGTACCCATCAGTGGTTGTATATGAGATGAAGATATTAATTAATTACATAAAGATCCATAATAATATTCAAAAACATTCATAATAATATTGTTGTACTATACAAACAAACTACCTAACAATAAATTTTTACAAGGAAATATCAATTAACAACAAAGTCTTGGAAGAATAAACCATTTTAACATTAAGCTTTAAAATAAACTTTCTCAATCATCTAAGTCAACAGCTAGAAGAAAGATTTAAAACATGAGTAATTTGGGATAGATTATTAGTATGTTTGTAGAATGCCTTGTCCATTTCATTCTCTACCAAACCCACAACCTCATGTAATGCCCTAATCAAATCTTGAAGATTTTGATGCACGAGTACTTCACTCCCCAAACCGTGGCTTAGTTTCATTCCAATGTTGTCTAATTTCTCTCTCAATAAAGTGATAAGATCCATAACTATTTCGAACTCGGCCACTTCATTCATGTCATTGGTCTTTTTCTTTTTACTTGTAGCAGAATTTTGACTTCTGCTACCAATTGATGCTTAGGTTGGATAATAGAGACATCTACATCATCCAAACCAATTTCAAGTTCACATGCAAGTTTAGAACCTTCATTTATCCCATGAGCAACATCTTCTTCAATTTCCTTTAGGACATCTGCATGAATTTGAGTATCTTGTTTTGTTGCTTAGTCTTTAGCGTAAATCCCAAACAACTCATTAAAAAAAAAAGAAAACTTTTTGTTTTGAATTGAGCAACATCTTTGTGACTCTCGTCAAAGTAAATAAATAATATTATTAGTTATATTTAAGCAACATACCTACACTTATATAAGATTCTCATACAGGATCTTTAACAATAACCATGTTCTTTTTATTTTTCCAACCAAATCCACTAGTACGTCTTCCTTGTACCATATCAAATATAGTTCTCTATTCTTTCTTTAAGGTTTTAATCCTCAATTCTATGTTAAGTTTGGCATTCAAGTTCGCATTTGGTACTTTTTTTGCAGTTATTCTTTTAAGCTTCAACAAATAACTACATCCAAAACCAATATCTATATGTTCTTTTATTGTTCTGATCAACTAAACATAATACTAGTACAACATCCTCATCAAAGGTTCACTTTCTTTTGTTCTTCTTTTTGAACTTTGAGAATGAATGGTTGAAGATGCAAATATTCCATTTTATCAAAAAGTAAAACTTTGTTCATAAAATAAATAAGAACAATGATAAATGACACATAAATATCTTAATATAATTAAAAATATTAAACTTTATCCACATGATAGAAAGTATACCATGAATAACAACTAACAATAACAAAGATTAAAATAGTACCACAACTTGCAACAAAATATATACAATTTTAATCCTACCTATAACAATCTTACATATAACAAAAAGAGTTTTACATACAATAGTACACCCTTAATATGAACAATTTAGAGTAACTATTAAAAATAATGAGGTTCTGGTTGCTACGAGATCATGGAAACATGACAACCAAAAAGTCTTTAAGTTAATAGAAAATAAAACAACAGCAAAGCACTATTGGGTAAAGTACATCGTCACAAAGAACTCAAGATGGAAACCTATTTTGATCTATAACAAAAAAATAGTTTGACATATCAATAAAAGTCATAAACGTCATCCAAGCATAGCAAATGACAATAGCATGCCCACATGATAATAAACCAGA